CACACACACACATATATGTACATATATATACGTGTGTGTGTAAATGTACATATAAATGTTCATCCCTTATGATATATGCGTTTAGTTATACACACGCACATATGTCTGCATATTGTGTTTGTGTGTGTATGTGTTTGTGAGCGCCTGTGTAGAAAGCACCTGCCTGTTATCGCCGCCGAGAGAGAGGCGCCCAACCTGGCTCCGGAGAGACGACCTTCGGGCCACCGGGATCCGCCCTCAGCCTCGGAGTGGGGGCCGTACTCAAGGAACTTCCAGCTGGTGGATCCGATGGATATCTCCCGAGCGACGGGTGCGCAGACTGATACTGTATCACTATACCCTAGAAGCGTCAAGTGAGAAATACCAGTAATTAGAAGACGATTCATATCGAGCAACTAACAATCATGCCACCCGCAAACAACCATGAAACAGACAAACAACCACGTAACTAACAAACAACCACGCAATCGATAAACAACCACGCAACCAACAAACAACGCAACCGACAGGCAACCATGAAACCGACAAACAACCACGCAACCGACAAACAACCACACAACTGACAAACAACCACACAACCGACTAACAACCACACAACAAACAAACAGCCACACAACCGACTAACAACCACACAACAAACAAACAGCCACATAACCGACAAACAACCACCCAACAACCAAAGCCATGTAACCGACAAACAAGTATGAAACCGATAAACAACCACCCAACCGACAAACAGCCACGCAACCGACAAACAACCACGCAAACAACAAAAACACATAACCAACAAACAACTACGCAACCGACATTCACGTAACCGAAAAACAACCACACAACCAACAATTAACCACGCAACTGACAATCAACCATGTAACCGACAAACCACCACGCAACTAACAAACAATCATGCAACCGACAAACAACCCCGTAACCAGTAATCAACCACGTAACCGACAAACAACCACGCAGACAACACTCACGCAACCAACAAACAACCTCGCAACCAACAAACAACCACGCAACCAACAAACAACCACGAAACTAACAAACAACCACGCAACCAACAAACAACCACGCAACCAACAAACCTCGCAACCAACAAACAACCTCGCAACCAACAAACAACCACGCAACCAACAAACAACCACGCAACCAACAAACAACCACGCAATCAACAAACAACCACGGAACCAACAAACAACCACGCAACCAACAAACAACCACACAACCGACAAACAACCACGCAACCAACAAACAACCACGCAACCAACAAACAACCACGCAACCAACAAACAACCACGCAACCAACAAACAACCACGAAACCAACAAACAACCACGCAACCAACAAACAACCACACAACCAACAAACAACCACGCAACCAACAAACAACCACACAACCGACAAACAACCACGCAACCAACAAACAACCACGCAACCGACAAACAACCACGCAACCAACAAACAACCACGCAACCAACAAACAACCACGAAACCAACAAACAACCACGCAACCAACAAACAACCACGCAACCAACAAACAACCACGCAACCAACAAACAACCACGAAACCAACAAACAACCACGCAACCAACAAACAACCACGCAACCAACAAACAACCACGAAACCAACAAACAACCACGCAACGCTCCGTGTGGGGTTTCGAGAAACGAAACGAAACCAACAAACAACCACGCAACCAACAAACAACCACGCAACCAACAAACAACCACGCAACCAACAAACAACCACGCAACCAACAAACAACCACGAAACCAACAAACAGCCACGCAACGCTCCGTGTGAGGTTTCGAGAAACGAAACGAAACCAACAAACAACCACGCAACCAACAAACAACCACGCAACCAACAAACAACCACGCAACCAACAAACAACCACGCAACCAACAAACCACGAAACTAACAAACAACCACGCAACCAACAAACAACCACGCAACCAACAAACAACCACGCAACCAACAAACAACCACGCAACCAACAAACAACCACGAAACCAACAAACAACCACGCAACGCTCCGTGTGAGGTTTCTAGAAACAAAACGAAACCAACAAACAACCACGCAACCAACAAACAACCACGCAACCAACAAACAACCACGCAACCAACAAACCTCGCAACCAACAAACAACCACGCCACCAACAAACAACCACGCAAACAACCACACAACCAACAAACAACCATGCAACCAACAAACAACCATGCAACCAACAAACAACCACGCAACCAACAAACAACCATGCAACCAACAAACAACCACGCAACCAACAAACAACCACGCAACCAACAAACAACCACGCAACCAACAAACAACCACGCAACCAACAAACAACCACGCAACCAACAAACAACCACGCAAACAACCACACAACCAACAAACAACCATGCAACCAACAAACAACCACGCAACCAACAAACAACCACGCAACCAACAAACAACCACGCAACCAACAAACAACCACGCAACCAACAAACAACCACGCAACGAACAAACAACCACGAAACCAACAAACAACCACGCAACCAACAAACAAACAACAAACAACCACGCAACCAACAAACAACCACGCAACCAACAAGCAACCACGCAACGCTTCGTGTGGGGTTTCGAGAAAGGGTTCACGACTTCGACTCTCAGACCTTAGGACTGTTCGTACCAAGTGACTTAACTGCGTGTTATCTAGTGTCTAGAAGTCTGCCTTTGGGTACACCAACCACACGCCCACAAAAATGGTGATAACGATAGATTCCAATGGAGATGGCAGAGACGCAGGCGTGTGGGAGGTGTGGCAGGATTGATATGCCCGTCTTTTTTTTAGCATGGCTTGCCCTCCATTTTTTTCCTCTTTTCTTTTCTTGTTTTCGTTAGTCTCTTCATTTTTGTTTTTCTTTGTCTCTGTTTTCTTTTTCTTTTTTTTTCTCTCTCTCTTTTTTTTGCTTCTGTTTCCTATTTTCCCTATTTCTTTTCTTCGCTCTCTCTCTTTTCTTTGCTCGTGCTCTCTCTCTCTCTCTCTCTCTCTCTCTCTCTCTCTCTCTCTCTCTCTCTCTCTCTCTCTCTCTCTCTCTCTCTCTCTCTCTCTCTCTCTCTCTCTCTCTCTCTCTCTCTCTCTCTCTTCTCTCTCTCACTCACTCACTCCTCTCTCTCCTCTCTCTCTCTCTCTCTCTCTCTCTCACTCTCTCACTCTCTCTCTCTCTCTCTCTCTCTCTCTCTCTCTCTCTCTCTCTCTCTCTCTCTCTCTCTCTCTCTCTCTCTTTCTCTTTCGCTTTCTCTTTCTCCCTCTTTCTAACCTATCTATCTCCCTCTCTCTCTCTCATTCTCTTTCTCTTTTTCTCGCTATATGTATCTTTCTAGCTCTCTCTCTCTCTCTCTCTCTCTCTCTCTCTCTCTCTCTCTCTCTCTCTCTCTCTCTCTCTCTCTCTCTCTCTCTGTCTCTCTCTCTCTCTTGCTTTTAACAAGGAGTTATTGTGTATTTGTCATTTAAAAAAAACTGTGCCTTACAAAGTAAAAACATATAGTCCATGAAAAAACAGTGAGGATAATTATAATGATAATATTTTATCGCAACAACAAAAAAATAATGTAACCAGACAGCTCTTCAGAACTAGGTATAAAAAAGTGTGGCTTGACTTCCATCATCTGGAGAACTCCCATTGGGTATCAGTGTACATTCAAAGGTCTTGTGATACGAGTATTGTCCCTAGTGTTAAAGGAACAAAAAATATACTTATAACGAGGCGTGGGAACACATCCTTATCGGAGCTTCATGTGGTATTCTCGTTGAAGAGGTCGGTCTTTGTTAATATATGTCAAGATGATATTATTATAATATTAGTATATATGTTATGTGTAAGTTTATCTCATAAAAGTATATCTGTGAATGCTTTTAAACAATTTCTTCTAAACATGCTTTCAGTAAGACAGTTCTTTGGACCAATATTTTCTTAGGAAACGTTACTGTTGTTAAGGGAGATACGTGAAATTTTTCAGGGTGAAATTTATTTATGACAAGAATTACAAGTAAGATTACGTACAACAGATGACATGTTCAACAAATAAAATGAATTTTATTGAATAAAAAATAATTTTAAAATCTGTATACGGCAGAGATGCTTCTTTTATACCCATGACTTCCTATTTCTCTTTACGGCCATTAAGATATATTTCCATATATTTCAACAGTTTCCATCTTTATACGTTCCGATTTCGTTTTTTAATCAAATACAGTATACATGGTAGACTTGTTTATTTGTATCTTATGAACAAGGCCCATTCATTTACTTAGACGCACTACTTTTTCTGTTTATGGGAGGCCTATAATGCTTGTCCTTTGTTTATGTTTTGTTTGTAAAAGGAATCTAGAATGTCTCCTTTTATTCCTCCTCCGCCTTCCTCCTCCTCTTCCTCCTCATCCGAACTCCTTCTCCTTCTCTTCCTCCTTTTACATCGTTATGAAGTTTAGATTTGGTTAGTAAAAGGAATTGAGAAAGTGTCCTCCCCTTCTTCCTCCTCCTCCCCCTCCCCTTCATCCTCCTCCTCCTCTTCCTCCTCTTCTTCTTCTTCTCCTTCCTCCTCCTCCTCCTCCTCCTCCTCCTCCTTCTCCTCTTCCTCCTCCTCCTTCTCTTCCTCTTCCTCCCCCTCCCCTTCTTCCTCTTCCTCCCCCTCCCCTTCTTCCTCTTCCTCCTTTTCCTCTTCTTCCTCCTCTTTCTCTTCCTCTTCTCTCCTCTTATTATCCTTTTATTCTTCTTCATCCATCTCCTTTTCGTCTTCCACACCCTCCTCTTCCTTCTTCTCTTCCTTTCCCTCCTTCTCTTTCTTCTTCCTCTTCGTACCCATCGTCTTCCTTTTTATACTTTTTTATACAATTTTTTGCTTATCATGTAATCATTAATTATACATAATAGTAGGTTTTAAATCAGATTTAAATGAGAATTATTTTTTTGTGTGGTTTTAATACTCTTAAGAAATTAACACCTGAGT